AAATACAATATATCACATATAAAAATACAAATATACATGCACAATATATAAAAATACAAATATTATTAACAGTAAAAAATAATATTAAAGTATTTAAAATATTATTTAATACTATTTTACTTATTTTATAATAGCATGTCGTGCCATAGTTTTACTATTATAAATTTTATTTTTTAATCTACCTTTCTTACAATCAAGTTTTATTCGAAATGTAATGTAATATTTCATAATTTTATTAAATAAATTGCAACAAGTTCCTAATGCATTACAACGAATGTTAGCCATTTTTTCAATAAAAAATTTTATTAAATTATAATTTTTGTTTTTAATGTAAGGCAAATATTTTCTTATAATAATTTCCATTTTATAAAAATAATTAAAAGTTGCTGCATTAACAAAAAATAATGTTTGCGATGTAAAACGTCTTAAACGTACTAATTTAGAATACTTAACATTAGTATCACATGTTTTCGATCCAGCTGAATCAATACAACTTTTACAAACTGTAGGCAATTTAGAAATTTTATGAATAACGTAACCAGCAAGAGAATATAGTATATTTAAGTGAACATTGTCTATGTGAATCTGTATTTTGTCAACATAATCAGGAATTACAGGAAATTTGGACGATATATTATTTACGATACGATTATTTTTTTTACTATTTTTTAAAAAATTGATAAGAAAGGTACCCTCATCTTGTTCATAATTAGTGTTTTTTACAACTTGTAAATATTGTGAAACACTATGGATCTTTAAGCTTTGTTTGAATTGTAATGCATTAGGCACAGGAAATTTTTTTCGTATGTTTGAAAATAAGTTTTCAACACAATCCTGAGTAAATCTTGCGCCCAATACGTATAAATATCCTTGTTCATTAATTAAATAATTTGATAGTTCCATAAAAGACGTGGTAGTGAATATAATACCGCATTGTACAGGTTTAAATTTTCCATCTTTTCCGATTTTAATATTACGAAACAGATCAATGACTGATTTTAGAAATTCTATATTCTGATAAAATATATTTTGCGAGTTTTCTTCTTCTATTCTTCCTAATGCAGTTAAAGAAGTTCGAGAAGTAAGTATACGAAACCATTTTGATACAATTTCAATAAATAAGGCGGTTACTTTATATTCGCTCATATTACGTTCTTCTCCTATAAAGTGCAATGCGCTACTAACATCTCTATTATACAAATGAGTTGCCTTATTAACTCTCATTTTGTTAAAATTAGTAATATTAACAATGTCTCTCTCTAAGTTTGGTGCTAATTTAAACGTGACATCTTCTTGTTCAGCTATTAATTCTTCTACATGTGAACATTTAACAATGCCTGAAGATAGTTTATATGTTTCTACAAAATTCTGTGGCAATGTTATAATTTTATTATTTACCAACGCAGTTCGAAGATTTTTTAAAAGATGTGGGGCATCAGCAAAGAAATATAGTTTTCGGCTGTTATCTTGTGGATGTAGTATTGCGTTTTTAATTTTAGAATACCTGCTTGCAGATATATTTCNGAAAGCTTTCCACATGCTTTGATTAACTGCTCCCATGTCAGATGTGATACTATGAACTTTAAGATCTATTAATTCAGCTTTTTCTATGATTTTAAGAATGATTTCTTTTAAAATTTCACCATTAAATCCTTCAGGAGTATAATAATATGCTACCACTTGTTTCCATCGTGTAAATATACCGCAAATCATCAACACTAAACCGTGTGTAGCATAAGGCTTTAACCCTATAAATATACATGCAATCATGCAAATAGGAAAGTAGTAAAGTAGTGAAATAAATAATATAGAAAGTAGTAAAGTAAATAATATAGAAAGTAGTAAAGTAGTGAAATAAATAATA